GAAACAGTCAGGCAAAAGCAGTGAACACCAGGACTGAATTGGGAAGGAAGGAAAGAAGGAAGGAAGGAAAAGAAAGGTAAGAAAGGAGGGAAGGAAGGAAGGAAACATTTATATAACGCCTACTCTGTGCCAAGTGCTTTACAAATATTCTCTCATTTGATCCTTACAAACTCCCTGGAAGGTGGGTGCTATTATTATCTTCATCTTACATTTGAAAAAACTGAGGCAAACAGAGGTTAAATGACTTGGCCAGCATCATATAGCTAGTAAATGTCTGAGGCTGGATTTGAACTCAGGTCTTCCTGACCCCAGGTCCTGTGCGCTATCCATTGTACCACCAAGTTACCATTTATGCAATGTTTGGCATCAGTAGATAACCTCCCCTACTCTCTGGCATTACGAATAGAAAGAAGGTCTATTTTATTTGTCTACTTGAATCAATATTTGCATTTAATCCTAGTTGAGCTCCTTTTGAATGTGACTTTCATTAATATTATAATAGTGTTTATGTTTATACTCTTCTCCTGGTTTTGTAAGTCTTCCCATGGTTCTTTGAATTCCTCGTATTTTTCATTTCTTATCACTCTGGATGCTGATATGTGACTGCTTCATTCAATCCCTGACTTTGCTTCCAGCCTTTAGCTACCACAGAAAATCCCAGCCCCTTCCCCCTGCCCTCTGCTGCTCTCTAAGCTGCTGGCTATTCCCTGCTCTCGGACCTTTTCCAGCTGGCTCATTTCTGATACATGAATGCCCCCCTTTCCTTTTCTTGCTGCTCCTACCATCCTGCACCGCATCATAATGCCCAATATTCCCCAGACTTCTCAAACTCATTCTGCTCCCCATTTCATTCCTGTCTCCATGTTATTTTAACAGTCCTTCATATAAGTTTCATGTGAGCTTGAAAGACTGTGCCACCTGCTCTGTCAGCCATGATATTCACATCCCCAAAACATAATTTTATACTGGGTAACTTTTTCTTTTTTTTTTCCTTTACAGGGAAAAAATGGGAGTTTTAGTACAATCTAAATTGGGGGAGGAGGGTTTTCCCACAAGCCGTGGGGAAAGAAGGGAGATAAAATGGTAAATTCATTAAAACTTAGCAAAATGCCTACGAAAATGCAAAAATGGAAAAGCTTCAGAAATTCTGGCACAAACCATCAATGTTAATAATGTAAGAGTGAAGGCGCTTGAATTTTTCCCTTGTTCTCCTCCTGCTGGACTGAGGTAGGTATATGGAAAGCAGACTTCCAGCTGTCTAAGATCTACTTCTTGGCACCAAGTAAAGGGAGAATTTAGCAAACTTCTTGTTCATTTGATCATTGCTGAGAATAGCTTGAAAGGCAGAATGTCATAGTGGAACATCATCTGTAAAATGGGATTAGTAATACTTGTGACATCTGTTTCACAAAATTATTGAGTGTATAAGATAATAAAGCCCTTTGCTTGTATTATGGCTGCAAATACTGTCAGTTACTTTTGGTGTCAAAGGAAAAACATTAATACTAACACTGAACTCTGCAGTTTTAGGCTCAAGTATTTTGGATAATTTTATTCAATTTAAGATTCAACTAACGTCCAAGCATTTCTGTCTTGGGAGGGAGAGTTGTCCAAGTAGGTAGAGCTCACCGTATCCTTTGATATGGCTCTTTGCCCCAAGATAGTTTTCGGTGACTTTTATTATAGGAATCTTTAACAAGGAAAAGATATGTGAAAACACAGACTGGGTTAATATTCAAGAATAGTGGAGTAACCAGGTCAGTCCCTCCTGGAGTAAACAAAGGGACCTCATTACTTTCATTGGTTTCTTAATCCTTTCTCTGATGCAGACCTCAGATGGGAAGGCTATGATATAAACAACAACAGAGTTAAGTTTGGTTATTGCCCTTAATTTGCCCAAGAGAAACATTTTATCCTCAGACTTATTACTCACTTCCCCAAGGGGCTTTTTCAAGGATTTTGGAAAGGGCTTTTTAGAGCAAGAGTATTTCTTAATAATTCTAGATAAATTAAGGAGGATTTTATTATGATTTCACATTGGTATTGCCCAGTCATACAGCTACTAAGTAAGGAAGTTATGACTAGAACCCAGGTCCTCTGATTCCAAGTGTTTCCTAAAGGCAACTAAATGGAAAAGTGGATAGAGGGCTGGCCTTGGAGTCATGAAGACCTGAATTCAAATCCTGCTTCATACATTTACTAGCTTTGTGACTCTGAACAAGCAACTTAACCTCTGCGATCTTCAGTTTTTCTCATCTGTACAATGGAAATGGGGCAGCTAGGTGGCACAGTGGATAGAGTTCCAGCTCTGGGGACCTGAATTCACATTCTTTCTTTTTTTTTTTGGTTAGGCAATGGGGTGAAGTGACTTGCCCAGGGTCACACAGATCGTAAGCGTTATGTGTCTGAGGCCGGATTTGAACTCAGGTCCTCCTGAATCCAGGGCTATTGCTCTATCCACTGTACCACCTAGCTGCCCCCAGGGACCTGAATTAAAATCCAGCCTTAGACACTTACTAGCATTGTAACCCTGGGCAAGTCACTTCACCCTGTTTGCCTCAGTTTCCTCATCTGTAAAATGAACTGAAGAAGGAAATGACAAACCATTTTAGTATCTTTGCCAAGAAAACCCCAAATAGAGTCATGAAGAGTCAGGCACAACTGAAAAACAACTAAACAACAACAAAATGGAGATAATAATAACACCAACTATTAAAGAGAAGTTATGACTTCAGTCTACGTCCTTGGATTCCAAATCCAGTTATCTTTTCAGTACATCAGCTTCGTTGTTGTTGTTTGTCCTTTGTTCTCGAAGAGGACCATGACTTCAGGGAGGTGATGCCATGACATGCAAGAGAATTGGATTTAAGTGAGGGAGCAGGTGGATAACCAGTGTGGACCATTTAGGGTCACACATTTTCCTGATTTGTTTTAGTTTTTCCTATTGCTCAAATACACCACTTCACTCTGCGTCATTCAGCGCTTCTGAAGCGATGTGGGTCACACCCCACAGTTTAAGAAGGAGTCACGAGTGGAAAAAGTTTAAGAAGCCCTGATTGTGGATAACCCATCAGGTCACCACAGAACAGTGCCTATATGTGACAGGATGCCCCACTTCCAAGGTGACGCACACTCTTGAGTTTCAGAGCAGCCTGCATTGCAGGACTGAAATCTGGGTCAGCTCGTCCCCAGGACTTATGCTGGCTGGCTGCAATTTCCATGTAAAGGAAGAAGGCTGGACATGGGCTCAGAGAATATTAAAGCTGGAGGGATATCTTCAGACTCTCTTCATTTTATTCAAGAGAAAACTATAATGTTGGGAAAAACTTTCTAACTATTAAAGTGGTCCCGAAGTGGGAGGGACTGATTTAAGGGCTGGTAAGTCCCCTTCCAGGAAGGTCTTCAAGCCAAGGAAGGACAACCACTTGTCTGGCATGTTATAATGGGTAGACTAGACGGCTGTTAGGGGCCCTTCCAACTGTCAAATTCTATTCCATGAATTGAGCCTCAGAGAGTGGAAATAACTTGCATGAGGTCAGAAAGCAGAGCTGAGATTCACATCCAGGTCTTTTGATTCCAAATGCAGGGCTTTTTGCCCCACACCTCTTTAACATGGAGCTGCTGATAATTCCTAGCTCAGAAAACACCCCCGAGAAACACAGGATGGGATGCCATGTCAGTTGGTCAGTCCAGGCACTGTGCTAAGCACTGGTGATACAAAGAAAGGCAAAACAGCCCTTTCCTTTGAGGAGCTCACAGTCTAATGGTGTCTTTAGTAAGGTACTACGAGAGGACTAGAAGGGGAAACCAGAAAGATGACTGTATCAGACCTCAAATACCTGTTCTTTTTTGGTGTCACTTGAACTCTGGGTCACCTCCCCACAGCCCATCAAGCTGTCATGCATCTTCTTGCATATTCACTTAATCCCTTGACTAGGTTCACACAGACTTTCACCCACAAGGAGAGCAAGCTTAGAACTGGAAACATAGAATGTGAAATGGAACGAATCTTGACAATCAATCTATAGTAACCTAATTTTATTTTTTCAGCTTATACATTCAATGCTTTCTAAACTGAATGCGATTGCATGCTTAGAATCATAGCTGTAGCAATCTTAGCTACAATCAGCTTTTTTTAATAGTGAATTTTTTTTATTTTCAACTTTTTTTATTAAGGTAAACTTAATCAGCAACAAATGCAAACATTTCAATATACAGTAAGATTATATAAGAAACTGAAATTCTGTTCTATACAAATTGGATATTAAAAAAGATATATGATCTGTGTATATATACGTCTATATAAAAATTTAATAGGGAAGTATGACAATTTATGTCCCATTGTGTACCTATTTTTCTTTTCTACTCTGCATTTAAAAAATCTTTTGTTCATACTTCCTTTTTTTGTATCTGTCCCTCTCCAATATCCAATCCTTCCTCCATTGGCAGTAGAAATTCCTTCTTGTAATCAATCTGAATAGTCCAGCAAAACAAATATACATTTATGAGCCAATTCTCAAGATGTTTGAGGTTAAAGAGAATGTAATCCTATTAGGTTGGCCTTGGGAATTTATAGAAGCAGTGAAGCAGCTGCAAAATCAAACATTTAGCGTCAGTGACTCCTGTGCAGAATTGTTTAAATGGAGATCAAAGTGTTGATGATGATTAAGAAACATCACCCTCTGGGACAACTAGGTGGTGCAGTGGATAGAGCACCAGCCCTGAAGTCAGGAGGACTTGAGTTCAAATACAGCCTCAGACCAAATACTTGACACTTACTGGCTGTGTGACCCTGGGCAAGTCACTTAACCCCAACTGCCTTAAAAGAAAGAAAGAAAGAAAAAAAAACACCCTCAACAAGAGACTTTTGACAGGTCTTTATAGGCTATGCTGCTTAAGGGATGGGGATCTGGGGCATCAAGGGGGAGATTCAGTGGCATGTTTTAAACACCTGAACATTTTTGTTTGTTCCATGTGAAGCTCATGTGATGAAGCAAGTCTTAGGTTTTCCTCATATACCTTCATGGATCGTTATCCTTCGCAGCCTGCAAAATGGTAGGGACTTTTTTTGCCCCTGTGCAAACCTCTCCTTTTGCAGAGGAGCAAACTGAGGCTTTGGAGGGGCCAGTTCCTTGGTCAAGGTCACACATCTATTTAATAGAAGAACTGGAATCAGAATTTGTTCAGTTGTTTCAGTCATATCTAACTCTTTGTGACCCCATTTGGGGTTTTCTTGGCAAAGATACCATTTCCTTTTCCAGCTCATTTTACAGATGAGGAAACTGAGGCAAACAGGGTTAAGTGACTTGCCCAGGGTCACCCAGCTAGTGTCTGAATCCAATTTGAACTTGGGTCTTCCTGACTCCACAGCCCAGCATTCTATGCACTGTACCATCTAGTGGCCCTGATCAAAACTTAGGTATCCTGATTTCAGTCCCCTACCCCTTTTAATGACAATTCAACTTGACATTTTTAGGTGGCTCCACATGCATAGTACTATGTTAGGTTTTGTAAACCATGGAATTCCACAACTATGCCACTCTAAAGAAGAATTGTAGTTAAGGGAAATAAATAAGCACTACATTATCTGTCTGGAAAGCTTGTATAGAGACATTCAATTTGTAAAACCAGAACATTTTGGAGTGATTGCTGTTCACCCAGACATACCCTGAGCAGTAGTAGTGGTTGTTCTAAATTCAGACTCAGGAACTTGGAGCAGCTGGAAGTACTTAAGTCTTCATCTTAGACAGGAGGTGTTTGTCAGCAGACAACCTGAGCCTCTTAGAGAGGAAAATGTTATCATTCTTGGAGAGGCAGGATAATGGTAGTGTAAAGAAAGAGTTTTGGACTTGGGGTCAGAAGGCCCGAGTTCAGGTCTTGTTTGTTGCTAGCTTTGTGATCATAAGTAAGTCACTTAAATGGGCACGATAATAATACATTGCCTTTATATTGCAAGGTTGTTGCAGGTGTTGCTGTGAGAGTGCTTTGTAAACCGACAGGTATTACTATGAGTGATGATGATGATGATGATGATGATGATGATGATGATGATGATGATGATGATTATTATTATTGTTATCCACCCCCACTTCTCATCCCCAAACCTTAGCAAGGACTAAAAGAAAACACATGCAGTACATAGTGAACCACTACAGATCAAAGACCAAAGGTGAACCTGATAGCCCAGGTTCCAAAGCACACATGTAAAGGCTCACAGATAAGATCAAACATTAGACAGGTTTGGGGAGGAGTGGATCCTGGAATTCCTCCTACCAAACAAACAACAGGATGAAGTCTGTGGGGAGTACCTAAGAAACAAGTCATTTATATACTGACCTAGAAGTCTTCTTGAGACCACTAACGCATTCTTTGTGTCTCTGGTTACCCAGATCTCAGTGAGTTACAAGAAGCTGAGGAAACTATCCCCACATTAACGGTCTTTGGGATGCCTCCCTAAGGGGGTCTGAAATGGGAGAAGAGAGATGCAGGAAGGGAGCCGGGATGAACTCATACCTCAAAGTCCTCAAGCTACCCTTTTGATTCTAAAACACATGCCCCCTTTTCCTCATTGTCTTATCCTGGTTGCAGATCCCAATGTTTAATTTGAGGATAAAAAATCTTGTATGTCATTGATTCTCTTTCCCTCCAGGCTCCCACCCATTGGCAAAACTAGGAATAAGATGTAAGGGGTATGGGATGTTGCCAGAATGTAATGGTAGTACTGTGTGGTGTTGGCACCTGCACTCCAAAGTCATTTGCACTACTGTTTGTATCTTTCAGATAAGGTTTCCATGGTAAAGGCTCGTGTGCTGACTTGTGTGGAGGGGATAAACCTGCCTTTGTTAGAACAAGCCATCCAGAAGCAGAGGAAGTATCACCAGGAGAGGGAACATCAGCAGGAGAAGGGGAGCCAAGAACATGGGCAGGAGAGCAAGGACAACTCCTAGTCCTGGCTTGCACCCAGGGCCGTAGCACCTTGACAGATTTGTTGGTCTTTGCTGGGAGCAAAGGTGTTACTCTGGCCCCTGTCCCTTACTTGTTTTCATGCTATGCTAGAGGACATGGTGTGCCAAGTAGATGAATCCCCATATCGTAATACTGAGAGGAATCACCAGAGAAGGCAGCGTATGTCCTACAGGCGGGCAGATATAGCCCATCCCAGAGATCTGGGGGAATAGATATACGGCACTTCAACATTTATCTGTTTCTCTCCATTATAGCCCATATACTAATGTGAAAACAGAGTTGTAAAGGGACCAAATACCTCTTTCCCCAAAGGGCCCACTTGTTTTCCCAGACACTTTTTTGGTTTTGGGTGGTGATGGGGCTGTGTGAAGATTAATGGAAGCAATATATTTTTTTTTCTATAGGGCTGGGTATTCAGTTTTCTATAGGGCTTCGTATTCAATAATATTAGGTGGGTTTTGTGTGACCAACCTCCCCACCCCCTTTCCATTTGGACCAGGTTGGATCCTTGAGGGCAAAGTTTTTTCCTTCGGTTACTGCCTCCACCCTCGGATATTTATTCCAGGGAAATCTCTTAAATAAAGCTTCGGTATAGCTTTTCTTTTTAACAGTAATTAATTTATTCTGGACTTAACAGACACCAAATACACTGAGCATTTCCATATACAAAGCAGAACAGAAAAAAGGATTACATATGTGGTTCAGGTATCACTTATGACAATTAAACCTATCGGGTATAGGACAACCTTTAGTTGACTCGCTACAGAAAAGATGTAAGAAGATTCAGGGAACTAAGGAACCCATTATCAAATACAGAAACGTAAGACACTTGGCCAATTTGAATCTCCCAGGCTATCAGACACTATGGGGCCAAGGAACAAATGTTCCTCATTCCCTCCAGACCTACGCTGTCAGAGCAACTCACAGAAAATACAGGGCAGGAATTGGCAAGGACCAGACTTCAGGGAGACCCCCCTCTCCCGTTCCATGATGGCCTCTAGCCTTCCAGCTGCAGAAACCATGTTGATGGTCCTCAACCTTCTCTGTGGAGCATTTTGTTGAGGAACTCTCCCTCTGAGAGCTTAAAACACAAGAATTTTCAAATTTGGAGACATTCAAACTTGGAATCACTCATGAGGTAACCCCCAAGGCTGGGGAAGTGTTCCCAGGAGCTCTCATCTCTGACTTGTGCTCTTGGGGTTGGGGTTGGTGGGGAGGGAGAAATCCACTCCCTCCCCTCATTGCATTCTGGCCTGGAAGTCCAAGGCGAAGAAAATGACCCCCTCCTCTCCAGGGTCTTGTGGCTTCACACCTTCCTAAAGCCAATGTGGGGAGCTTGCAGCCAATTGGAAAAAGGGATGGGTCCTGGACTGCTTGGTGACCGTCCTGCTGGGCGGGGGGGGGCAGGGATGGCAGGGATTGGGACCCCCAGGGGAAGGGTCCTAGGTAGGCAAGGAATGGGGTGGGGTGGGGGGCTGGAGACTCCCTGGCCAATCCCCTCATTTCCCAGATGAGGAAACAAGATGTGTGGGTGGACTCGTGGAAAGTTTCCTGTACCTGCCCAAAATCATGGGGGTCATGGCTTGGGGCCAGGCTCGGAACCTGGGTCCCCTGACTGGAGGCAGGCACTAGGCCTGTTAGCCTGCCAGACATGACAGCTGACTCTGAGGCACCCACGGGTGTCCTTTGACCTCTGACCTCTGACCTCTGGGGCTGTTCCCAGGGTGCTCTGAGGAAGGCAGAGCCAGACTGGGGGAGGAGGGGAGGGCCCGGAGAGCACAGAAGGAGGGACAGGAGGTTTGATCCTCCCTGCCCTCCCTAGGGGGCAGGAGCAGGGCGGGCTGGGGCTGGGGGTGAGCTGGGCGGGAGACTCCTAGTGCCCTGGAGGATCCGGCCCAGGCCTGGGAGCTCGCAGGCCCCAGGGCTGGGAGAGAGCCTGGGGGGCGGGGCAGGAGGCCCCACTGGGAGGGGAAGCAGGGATGGAAGGGCTCGGCGCCCATCCCCCGGCTCCAGGGGAGGCCGCAGGCCTCTGGGTCACTTAGGCCCTCTCGGGGAGCTGCCCTGCCCGGGCTGGGGATGCTCAGGCAGGGCCTCTGTCGCCCACGCAGCTGCGCTGGCATGGACGTGTTCCAGAAGGTGGGGAAGATTGGTGAGGGCACCTACGGGGTGGTGTACAAGGCCAGGAACAAGCAGACAGGGCAGCTCGTGGCCCTGAAGAAGATCCGCCTAGACTCGTGAGTGTGGGGAGGCCCTCCCCCGGGGCCCTGCACCCCTTCTCAGGGATGCCCGCCTTCCCCAGGCTCAGAGCATTAGACTTTTGGGTGCCCTGTTTGTGTCCCGGGGAGCAGCCTTCGGTCCTCCCCGATTTCTGCCTCCCTCAGGGACTTCCTTGCATGGGGTATGTGTTAAAGAAGTCCGAACTTGAGACACCTACTTTAGATAGAGAAGGTTGTTCTCAGGCCCAGAAAATCAGGGTGATGGTGGGGGGGCGGCATTTCAAATGAAGAGGACGATATGGCAAGGCCCTCAAACCAGAAGCTGCCCCCTTGGCTCCTGCCACCTGTCAGGACTCTCCAATCTCATCCCCTGCAACCCATCCCTTGCTGCAGAGAGACTGAGGGTGTACCAAGCACCGCCATTCGAGAGATCTCCCTTCTCAAAGAGCTTAAGCACCCCAATATTGTCAGGTAAGTTGAGGAGGATAGGTCAAAGAGAATAAGGGGGTAGAGGGGCCTAAGCTACAGGGCCCTCCCTACCCACCTCCCCCTGACTGGGAATATGTCTAGTTTTTGTGACTGGAGTCTTCTCACCAGGCTACTAGATGTGGTACATAGTGAGAAAAAACTGTACCTGGTGTTTGAGTTCCTCAGCCAGGACCTGAAGAAATATATGGACTCAGCTGCAGCCGCAGAACTGCCTCTGCACCTGGTCAAGGTACCATGAAGTAGGAGGGGGCGGGGGATGGTGGCGCCTCCCACCCACACAGACCCAGCTATACTCTAGCTAAGCCAGTTGCCTTCTTGCCTTTCTGTTCTAGAGCTACCTCTTCCAGCTGCTCCAGGGGGTAAATTTCTGCCATTCTCATCGGGTCATCCATCGTGATCTAAAGCCCCAGAACCTTCTCATCAATGAGTTAGGTGCCATCAAGCTGGCTGATTTTGGGCTGGCCCGGGCCTTTGGCGTGCCCCTACGTACCTATACCCATGAGGTACTATTGGGTTAGGGAGCAGAGCTGTGGGCTGGACTGCCGCTCAATCACCAGGGCTGCCCAGAGTGGCACTGGCTTCTGCCCCTACAGGTGGTAACCCTCTGGTATCGCGCCCCTGAGATTCTCCTGGGCTGCAAGTTCTACTCAACAGCTGTGGATGTCTGGAGCATTGGTTGCATCTTTGCAGAGATGGTAAAGGGGGACATGGGAGGGTCGCCCAGGGGGGTGTGTTGAACTTAGGTTCAGTTCTCTGAGTGGTGTATGAGTAAGGCTGGCTAGAGGGCCAAGCAAAGTAGTCATACTTCACAGCTACAGAAGCCCTGGGAATGGGTTACCCCAAAAGGTTCCACATTTTGACTTTCTTTCCCAAGCCCTAGAAGCTTACTCTGTGTTGGATTTTGCTTAGAGGGGGTTGGGAGTAGAAAAAGGAAATAGGCCCTAGGGGTAAAAAGGAGTCGCCTTTCCTCCCTTCAGGTGACACGCAGGGCCCTGTTTCCTGGTGATTCAGAAATTGATCAGCTGTTTCGAATTTTTCGAACCCTTGGCACACCCAGTGAGGCCATGTGGCCAGGGGTCACCCAGCTGCCAGACTATAAGGGCAGTTTCCCCAAGTGGACCAGGAAGTCGATAGAGGAGATTGTGCCCAGCCTTGACCCAGAGGGCAAGGACCTGCTCATGGTAGGTGAATGAAGGATGGAAAAGAAGATAACTCCAGCTGTTGCTCCAGAATCTGGTCCAGTTAGGGCGAGGGACTTTGCCAATCCAGTCAGCCAAGCCAATCTGTTTTTGTCTCCTGCATGCATTTAACTTGCTCATCCCTGCCTAATTAATTAGAACCATTTCTCCCCACAACAACATAGCTAATATTTGAATGGCACTTCAAAGTTTGCCAATGACTTTACATTTGATGCTCACAACAATCCTGTAAAGAAGGAGGTGCTATTATCCCCATTTTACAGATGAGAAAACTGATCCTCAGAGTAGTTAAGTGATTTGCCCAAGGTCACACAGTAAGTATATGAGTCAGGATTTGAACCTCAGGTTTCTTGGTACCAAATCCACTATGCTATAGTGCTTCTCTATTTGGCCTGTCTTCCTTGTTTTAATTCTCACACATAAAACTGCTTGTAACCCCCCTCTTCTAGAAAGACTTCCCTAATTAGCAACATTGAACTCTTATCCTTTCATTCTTCATCTGGAGTATATATACCCTTGAGTTACACTATTGCCAATCTGCATGTGTTTATTGGTTACCAAGTCATTTTGCACATGGATCAGATATTATAATGTACGGAAAGTGCTTTGTAAACCTTAAAAATGCTATATAAAATGTCAGCTGTAATCGTGCTGATGCATGTAGTTTCCATTTCCCAACTCAACTATGAATACCTCCTCTGGGGCAGAGATCACATTTTCTTCTTCTGTGTAAAAATGGGTAATAGCTCACATTTATATAGAATTTTAAGGTTTGCAAAGCACTTAATGTATATATATATATATAGGTATATGTATATATATATAGGTATGTGTGTGTATATATATAGGTATATGTATATATATGTATAGGTATATGTGTATGTGTATATATATATAGGTATATGTGTGTGTATATATATATAATTTCATCTTCACAATGGTGACTGTGGTGCTGTCCAAGAGCACTAGATTTAGAGACTGGATGTGAATTTGAATACTAACTCTGGTACTTATTACTTGTGTGACCCTTGGGCAAATAGCTTAACTTCTTTGGATCTCTGATTTTGTTCAGTCATTTAGTCATGTCTAACTATTCATGACCCATTTTTTTTTGTTTGTTTTTCTGGCAAAGATATAGGAGTGATTTGCCATTTTCTTCTCCAATGGATTAAGGCAAATAGAGGCAAAGTGACTTGCCCAGGGTCACACAGCTAGCAAGTGTCTGAGATTGGATTTGAACTCAAGTCTTCCTGACTCCAGGCCCAGTGCTCTATCCGCTGAGCCACGTAGCTGCCTCTGTCTTCAGTTTACTCATCTGCAAAATGGGGATAATAATAGCCCCTATCTCACAGACATAGAGTTGGAAGGAACCTTAAAAATCTTCTGTCAGGGGTGGGGAAGCTATGGCCTCCTTGGGTGTGGCCTTTTGACTGAGTCCAAGTTTTACAGAACAGATCCTTTTATTAAGGGTATTTTTTCTGTGAAGTTTGGATTCAGTCAAAAGGCTGCACTTGAGGACCACAAGTGGCCTCAAGACCAAAGGTTCCCCACCCCTGTTCAACCCCCTTAAATTTATGATGAAGAAACTGAATGATTTAACTACTCAGAGCCTCAGTTTCCTCATCTGTGAAATAAGAATAATGATAGCACTTACCTGTTTTTTTGAGGATCGAATGACAATGTATGTAAAGTACTTGGCAAACTTTAAAGTGATATACATTTGATAAATATTTGATAAACAAATATTATTATGCCCAATGCTAAGGCCCATGCTAACCGCCCAAAAGCACCATAGAACTTAGCCTGAGGGGAGTACTTTATATACTAGTAAGGCAAGACTTCAGGGAAACTGAGGCAGAAAACTGCAAGGGAATGGCTGGACCTGGTGTGAGCGACAGGAGCCACTCTCAAGGCTCTGCCTTCCTTTCTGTTTGTTTTTTTTTTTGTTTTGTTTCTGTTTTTTGGTGAGGCAATCCCCCAAAGTTAAGTGACTTGCCCAGGGTCACACAGCTATTAAGTGTCAAGTGTCTGAGGGTGGATTTGAACTCAGATCCTCCTGACTCCCAGGCTGGAGCTCTATCCACTGTGCCACCTAGCTGCCCCACCTGTCTTCCTTTTTGGGTCTTCATACTCCGCATGTTCACTGTCATGTTTCCAGAGACATTGACCTTTTTATAAAGAAGAGCCTATCCCAACTTGAGCTGGGTGGGGACCAGGAAAGCTCAATGAGGAAGGGGAAAGGTTGGGTGACTCACCCACAGTTGTTAGAGAAGTCTCTCTACAGGTTCCAACATTTTTTATTCCCAAACCGGGTCCCATTCCAACTATTCCTAGCAGGTAAATTCCTTCTCCACGTTCTCCCCACACAGCTTCCCTCCAGAAGAAATCCTGAGCTTAGTTGGGATGGCCTTCTACAGACTTCTCTAGACCTAGGCACGCACTCTCCTGGTTCTATGCTCTCTCGTCCTAATCCTCATTATCCTCACCACAGTCCCGGGTGATTGGGGAAGAAGGCAGAAAGAAGACATTAACATGCTTTTCTCCTTCCTTTACAGCAACTGCTGCAATATGACCCAAACAAGCGCATCTCAGCCAAGGCAGCTCTAGAACATCACTATTTCTCCCCCTGCAAGTCATGCTCAGCCCCACGCCAGTGCATGCTGGAGCATTTTTGCCGGTGAAGGGGATGGGCATCCAGCTTCTATCCTCTTCCCCTTCCTTCTCAGGTCCAATACCCAAAGCCCCTTCTGCAGCTGCAGCTCTAGCCATCTTTCCCTAATGTTGGGGAGGAATTGTAGGCAGGGTGAGCTTTGTGTCTAGGTTTAGCTGTGGCCTGGGGACCATGAAAGGCTAGGTTTGGACAAGTCCTTCTACCAGGTTAGTGAGAGTTCCCATGTTCTTTGTTGGGTTTGACAGCATCTCTTCAGGGTGGAGGGTGCAGCCACCTGATAAGGGAGAGGGAGAGGTGAGAGAGCAGCTCCCTTGTACCTAGGAACAGTGGTGGGTGGTGCTCAGAGAAAGAGGGGCAATTGTTTTCTTTGACATCATTGACCTAGCCCAAACTTTACCTTCAGGTCAAAAATTCCAAGGTAGAGGGGACTCTCTTCCTGTACCCCACATCCAGCCCCCCCCTGCTGTTCTTTTGGGGTTTAAACTATTTAGGAAAGAGTTTAATTCCATTTAGAAGAGTTAGAAGAGAGGGGAGTTTTTCCATACGTGGTCAGTGGCAAGTGTGTGAGTTGGGTGTGTTTTCAGCAGTTAGCTGTTTACCTATAATGTAATTGCATTCATTTGGTCCTAGATTTAAGAATAAGAAATAAAAATTACATTTCTGAGCTTCGTGATGTCTGACCCTTCAGTGGAAAGGGACCGTAGGGAAGGGAAAGTCAACATGACTCACTCGAGGGGCTGAAGGTGGTCCCTAGCCAGGGGTTCTTAACTTGAGGTCTGTGAACTTAAAAAAAAATATATATTTCAATAGCTATTTCAATGAAATTCATTTTCTTCATGATCCTAAGCATTTTATTTTATGCATTTAAAAATGTTTTTCCAAGAAGGGGGCACAAAAACGATTAAGAACCTGTACCCTTGGCAGAAAAAGAGATTGAGATGTGCAGAGCACAGACAGCAAATAAAATGGGGAGGAGATATTCAGAGGAGGCAGGAGGTTACTGTTATTTCCATGGGAAAGAGTTTGTATTTGCCTTTCTGGATCTCATCCCAGACAACTTGTCCTAGACCCAGAATCAGAGGCAGCAGAGCCTCCCCCTTCCACTGAGCTGGGAGACATTTTCTTAGTTCTCAGCAGGTGTCCCCACCCTCCCTGCCCCAACCAGACAAATCTATCCCATGTTTCAAGTAATGACAGCCCAGCCACTGAGACAACAGGAGAGTTTATTGCATGCATTGGGGTAGAGAGAGCAGACAAAGTCACACCGACTACTGGGGCTAGGGATATGTGGTTAATCACTCAAAGTTGGGGAGCTCAGATATGGAGACCACTCTTCATGAGAAAGCATTTGAACGTAGAGAGATCAGGCATCTCGCTGCCTTTGGAGGGTAAAGGGAATTTTATTTAGCTAAAAAAAGATGTATGACCTTTAACACATGCCTTCGTGCCTGCTTGGCATGCATGAGGAGTGCTTCCATTAATTAGCACAGACAGCGTGGCCGAGAAGGGGAGGCCGGGCGGTAAGAGCGGTAGTTCTCTTGGGTCGCGGGGAGGAGCAGCAGGCCAGTCATCGGGTCTTTCCGGCACCGGGTCATGGCTTCCTTGTAACTTAGCCGCTCTTTGGAGATGGGGTCGATCAATTCTTTTTCATAGTTGGATTCATCCTGGAGGAGCTGAGCTAGCTCTTCATTGATCATGCCAGCCAGCAAGGCCTGGGGAATAGGGATGCGGCCTGTCCTCTTGGGGTCAATGAGTCCTCCAGTGAGGTACTGAACCTGCAAGTGAGCCAGGGCACTCTCTCGGGGCATCCAGCCCTTCTGGATAGCCTCACCCACTGACAGCCTCTTCCTCGTGACAGGGTCTTCAATGCCAGTGAAGGCCTTCTGGGCATTGAGCAGCCTCTGAGTGGAAGTGTTCTCGATCAGCCCCCGCTCAATGGCCTTGTGGACAGAGTAGCGTTCCCGTGTCAGGAGGTCCACGATGCCTCCTGTGGCTGCCTGGGCCTCAAGTAGTTTCTGCCCAGTGATGGGGTCCAGCATCTTCTTGCCCACGGCAGTCTTGATGTTGCACTTATTGTCGGTAGCAGTGTCACAGACACCTGCGATGGGAAAGGTGTCATCGCTGAGGCCGAGAGAGGAACCAGGGGAGAAAATGCTGGTGGTTTGGAGAGCCAGCGCTGGTGAGGAGAGGGGTGATTTGGAGATGATAGAGCCGATGGAGAGCGGGGAAGTTTTGGTCTCTCCAGCCACCAGGAGAGCAAACTCGGAAATAGGAAGGTGGCCTTCCTTGTAGAGATGGTACTCCTCCTTGGTGATCCTTCTGCAGCGGAGGGCTTCCTCAATGGAGTATTGCTTCCCACTCTTCTTGTCAAGGAGGACAGACTCCTCTCCACATGGGGTCATGGTGGTGATCTCTTCCCAGTCACATTCCAGTTCCTGTAGCTGGATATACTGCCTCCGATCGATGATGCCTCTCTTATAGGCTTCATATGGCGACATGTCTTTCCCGGTCTCTGGGTCTAAGATGGAGATCTTAGTGGAAAGGTTGGTCTCTCTCATTTGGGTGTCCTGGTTCATCTCCTCTTGTTTCATTTTTAGCTGGAGGTCTCTGAGAGTCCTCTCCTTCTCATAGATCTGATCCTTCTCTCGGAGAATAGCCGCCTCCAGATGAGAGAGCTCCTGGTCTCGTCGGGCCCTCTTCTGCCGGTCACTTTCTGTCTTCTGGCTGAGCAGTTTGGACTCCTCATGTAAGCAGAGCATCCTCTCCTGCTTCTGCTTCTCGAGCTCCCTCATTTCCTTCTCTAGCTTTGCTCGCTCCTGGCTGGCCTGGCTCCTGGTTTTCTGAAGGTCAGCCTCTTCCCGGGACCAGGTCCTCTTCAGTGCCTCAGCCCTCTCGATCCTCTCCTTGAGTCTCCTCACATCCTCTTCCCTGTTCTGTCTCGCAGTGCGATCTTTACTGAGCAGCTCCCACACATGGGACCTCTCATTTTCTAAGACTCGGTCCTTTTCCACCCGGATGACTTCCTTGTAGATGGTCTTTTCCTGAGACTTGGCCTTCTGGAGGACATCAATTTTAACCTGCAGGTTCTTGCACTCCCGGTGTAAATCCATCACCTGGTTCTTCTCACTGTCCAGATCCCGCCGCAGGGCCTCTGTAGACTTCTCCAGATCCGGGTCCTTCTCCAGCTTGACCACTTCCTCCATGATGATTTTCTCTTGCACTGCAAGAGGCCGCTGCTCCATCTCCTGGATCCTTAGGCTCAGCTGCCGCAGCTCCTTCTCAATCGCTAGCTTTTTGTCGCGGTCTTCTTGGAAACTGAGGAGGTTCTCCTTCTCTTCCACCGTGGCCTGGAGCTGCTTCACCTCACGCTCCAGCCTCCGCCGGTTGGCCACTTCCTCATCCAGGCTACGGCTGAGGCGACTGTGGTCCTCGTGGAGCTTCAGGTCCACCTGGGTAACAACCACTTCCTTGACTACCACCTTCTCCTCAGGTCTCCTCCTCTCCAACAGCAGGTACTTGTTCTGAAGCTCATAGACTACATCTTCTGTTGCTCTCCTCTTCTGGACCGCATCTCGCACCTCCCGCCGGAGACGTTCTGCCTCTTTCTCCAGCACTGGGTCGTTCTCATAGCGTATCACTTCTTTGTTCACCATCTTGGTCTCAACCTTAGATCTCTCTCTCTTCCACTCATCCCGCTCCCCTTTCAGTCGGATGAATTGCTCCTGAGCCCGGCCATTGGTGTTGACCAGATCGTTGAGCTGGGCCTTCAGCTGGTCAATTTCCCTGAGGATCTCTGGGCTCTTCTCATGTTTCACCACCTCTTGGATCACTTCCTTGTATTCAACAGTTGGCTTCTGGGCCCGGAGGATGGTCAGCTCTGGTAGGGCTCCCTCCACCTCCTTCTCAACGGCAGTTCTCTTTTTTGTGGTGTCCTGGAGCTCCGCTCTGAGCCGAGCAATCTCTTTCTCTGTCTCTGGATCCACTTGGAAGATCTCGTTGACTCTCTCCTTGAATTCTACTTTGGGCTTCTGCTTTTCTACTATACTGTACTTGCTGTGCAGGTCCTTCAGCTCCCTGGTCAGCATCTCGTTCTTCTTCCTCTCTTCCTCAATGAGGTTCTTTAGTGTGATGGACTCTTTAAGGATTCCAGGGTCCTGCTCCACTTTCTTTACCTCTTTCACAATGATCTTGGGCTCCATTGAGCTGATCTGCTGTTCCAGCTGCTGGGCACGAACCCACAACTTGGCCACTTCCTCCTCTGCCGCCTTCCTGCAGCCAGCATCCTCTTCAATCTGCCGCTTCAGAGCCCAGGACGCCTTGACCATTTCGGGGTCTTTCTCCAGCTTGATCACTTCCTTCACTATGACCTTCTCCTTCACCTTTGCCTCCTTCTGTTCCAGAGTCACTAGTTCTCTCTTCAGCTGTTCCAGCCGGGCAGAGATGGTGGCATTGTCTCCCCGAAGTTGTTCGATCTCAGCTTTGATCTGGGCCGCCTGGCTGTCCAGGGTGGGGTCCCTCTTGATTTGGGTGACTTCCTTGGTCAGCAGATGGGGCTGAATGTCCTTCTTCTCCTTCTCCAGCTGGGCTATCTGCTGGTTCACCGCCTCCAGGTCTGCCTTCATGCTGGCCCACTTCTTGCCCTCCTCCTCCACCTGGTATTTCACTTTGGACAGGCTGTTCTCAAGCTTGGGGTCCCGGTAGAACTCTACCACTTCCTTTTCCTCTAGCCTCTCCACAGGCTTCTGGGTCTTCAGCAGCAGCAGCTGCTGCCTCTGCTCCTGGAGCTCCTGCTGTACCTGGGCCACCCGCTTCCTTTCTTCCTCCAGCTGGGTCTTCAGTGCCTGTGTCTCTGACTCTCCACTCCCCTGGCTCTGGTTCTCAGACCACTGCTTGGGGTGATGAGCCGGCTGGATAGCCTCATTGATTTCCTTCTGCAGAGCAAAGGGGAAAGAGTGCATGTGGCATAAGAGATCACAAAGAGGAACCTTGCCTTCCTCGCCCCACAGCTCAGTGACTCCTCCCCTTGGTGTGTTAGGGGAAAGCGTGGCTGAAGCTCTAAAACACTCAGAAATCAGCAAATTAGAGGGGATTGAGGCCAGGTGGAATACTCGCCCAACAGGCTGGGCAAATGCCCATGATGCCAGCCAGGAAGGGCACCCCTGTCCTGCTACCCGTCCAACCTTCCAAAAAGTGTAAAATCTAACTTATCCCCCATATTGTTCATTCTTTATGTGCCCTCTAGAGAAGTCTAAGCTGACTGATCATAACAGGAAAAGAGAATTCTATGTTGTACTTTCAAATGACAAGGATCCTTGGGAAGAAGCACTTAGCAGCTTCTTGTGATTTTTCCCCTCTCCCTCTTCTGCTCCCTCAGTTTGAGCAGTGTGAGTCTTTTCTGGGATAGGCTGGGCTTTCTTGGGGGGAAGAGGCCTAGTCCCCATAGGAGGGGAGTCCAGTGCCTAGAGAGTGATGCTCCTGCAGGAGCCGCAGGCCAAGAAGGGGGATGTGCCTGTGTGGAGAGCCATGGGCAGGGAGTTCCACCTCTTTTCCCAGCCTGCCTGTATCCCATGTGTGGGGCTAGGGAGACGGGACCACTGAGTGATCAGGAGCACCCTGAATTGATAGGGGAGGCTCCAGGATGCTATCACAAGAATGGGCACATTATCTCCGAATCGGGAGCCGTGCCAGTAAAGGACCCTGCAGATAATCTTGGTACCTTTTCCAACACCTTCTTGGCAAACTCCAGCTGACTCA